TCACTTTATAGCATAGCATAACAAACATCACACAGATTAAATTAACAAGGAAAAAACTTAAGATGAGAACAATATCTTCCCGGGAGCAGCATTGCTTTTAGTAAAAAGAAAAGTGAAAGACCAGCAACAATGCGGTGTCTATGTTCTCTTTTAAATTCAAAATTATACAGACATGTCGGGGCTAATTTGACATTCGTCAACACATTAATGGCTAAAATGTACCCAATGTGTGACATGGCTTATTGGCACATTAATATTGAGCAGAGTCAATTTTTTGTAATGTTTCAGATTTTTGGAAGTGGGGGAATAATGGAGGAAAATAAGTGTTGATAAGCTTAAAAAATAAATTTCCAAGCTGAGTGAAATAAACAAAGAAACCGCCACCGGTGCACCAATATTGTAAAATGCCTAATCTAATACCTCCAGATGATTTCGTATTTAACCCCATTCATATCTTCTATTTATGTTTATCTATTTTTTATACTCTGGTTATTGTCTAATATTAAAATGTGTTTAATATTATAATATGTACGTGTGGCACATACGCACACAAAAAAAGAAATAAAAAAACAGAATTGGGACAAAAACTTTTGACAGCACTATAAACCTACAGGTCTAGAAGTAGCAGCTGTTGCTACCACACGAACCATAATTAAAATAATCTAAAAACCATAATCTCTCTTTGACATCTGGTTACATATTTTCCAGCTTTTTCTGCACATCAACGTTTAAATGAAAATGTAAACACTGGCTTTACTGGTCTCCATATTTACTTCTGTGCAAGAGCAAATGTGAGTGACGCCTTTGTTATTGTTTTTCGGCACATGCAGGTCAGTTCAGGACAGTGACCAGTTTACACTGGAATCTGATATTAGCAGCACTGAATGGATAATGCGAAAAAAAAAACAAAAAACAAACAAACACTGAGGACTGCAGTGTGAACACAGCCATGCTGAATAAGCACAGTGTTGCTAGCTTTACATATGTATTATCTACAACAGACATCTACAACAAAACAAGACAAACACATGAAAAAAACTGACCTGTTTCGAGACTTGTTTGCATTTACATACATATATATATACCTTTTCAGTGTATCCACGTGAACTGTACCACCTCTGTGGCTCCTAGAGGATGTGATTAGAGTTCTGTGTGTTATGGGCACCTCCTGCCATGAGGCCTGGCTGTGGCTGCCATCCAGCACACCTCTGCCTTCTCTGCCTCTTCAATCCTGTTGACAGACAAGTGGAG